TAAGGTTCGGTGCTCCTTGTTTCTAAGTCACCAGAAGTGTTGTAAAAGGTTGGATTGCACCATAAGTCAATCAACATAGTGAAAATGCCTTGCTCGTGTCGGAAAGCTTGGTAACGGGGAACGTAGATCTTATCGTTTGCACTCTCTATCCCTTTTACTTAACGCTTTTACTTTGTACAAATTACATTGTTTCACTTATTTGCTTACTTGTGTTTAGTTGTCATCGGTTATTTGCACTTATTATTTGATTGATCTACTTGATTGAACTTGCTTACGATTATTAATTTATCAACTTATTTTCTAACTTAAGTGATTATTCGAAAAAGATTTGAAAACCAATCCCCCCCTATTGGTTAGTTATTCTTGGGCTAACATCATGCATTCTAGTTTCTCCCCCTGAGAACAATGAGTGTAGTGTTTAGGTTGGCCTAAGAGTAAGTCCATGTAAATCCCCTCAAATAAATCACCATTGAGAAATGCATTATTGATATCTAATTGAACTAAATGTCATTTCTTAATAGCTGCAACAGCAAGTAGAGCCTTGACACTAACCAACTTTGCAACTGGAGAAAAAGTTTTATTGAAATCTAATCTTTCCTGCTGGGTGTAACATTTTGCTACTAATCGGGCTTTATACCGGTCTATGCTCCCATCTGACTTGAACTTAATTTTGTATACCCATCGGCATCCTATGGAGTGCTTGTCTTTTGGCAAAGTTGTAATAGACCAAGTATGATTGGCTTCCATGGCTGCCAATTCATCAGTTATAGCCTTTTTCCAGTGTTCATGTTTCATTGCCTAGTGATAGAATTGAGGTTCAAGTATTGAATATAAGTGAGTTATGGGAAAATGAAAAAGCTTTGTAAGATAAAGACTTACATAAAGGGTACAGGGAATCAGTTTGAGGAGGGAAGGTATTGGTTAGAACATTACAGTGATATTCACGAAGACAAGATGGAATTTTTGGTATTCTGTTACCTCTTCCATGAACAGGTGAAGGGGATTTACTTATGTTGAATGTATTGACATGAGGAACATTTTCATGATCATCTGCAAATGAAGAACTTTTTTAAGGATCTGTAGATAAAGGACTTGTTTGAGGATGGTTTAAAGATGAATCTTGAAAAGGATTCAGCAAAACTACATCAGATAATGGATCAACAGAATCAGTGGATGAAGGAATTGACTGGAGTGGAAATATGTGTTCTTGGAAAACTAATCTCTGAAAATGAAATGATTTATTGACTTTGTCATATAATTTGTATCCCTTAATAGCAGGGGGTAGCCAACAAACACACATGCCTTAGTTCTTGGATGAAATTTTGTTCTATTAGAAGCTAGAATAGAAGCAAAACAGAGGCATCCAAATGTTCTAAGATGATTATAGTCTACAGGAGTTTTGTATAGCCAAAAATAAAGTGTTTTGTTTTGTAGTATTGGTATTGGAGTCCTATTGATGATAAAGGTAGCTGTGAGGATGCATTCTCTCTAGAATTGAATATGGACTCTAGATTGGAAAAATAAAGCACGGGTTACATTTAGAAGATGTTGGTGTTTCCTTTGTACCACAGAATACTGTTATGGTCTTTCCACACATGAGTATTGATGAATCACCCCTTTAGTATTGAAGAATTCTGTGAATTTCTAAACATTAGCATTATCAGATCTAAAACATTTTATCACTTTGTTGAATTGTGTTTCTATAAGAGAGAAAAATCTAGGAATAATAAAGGTTGCATCAGACTTTTGCTTCATCAAATACACCCATGTAAATCTGGTGCAATCATCAACTAATGTCAAGAAATCTTTGTAACCACCACGTGAAGCCACATTGTAAGGCCACCAAATGTCACAATGAATTAGATCGAAAGCAACCGAGGATAAATGATTATTAGAAACAAAAGAAAGCTTTATCTATTTGGCTAAGGAGCAAACATGACAAGGGATATAAGCTTCTTTCTTTTTTTTATCGAATTTCAACAAATCTTTCGACAGTCAAGTTTCTTAAAGGACAACTTGAAGAACACGTGTCAGTGAGAAAACTGACACTTAATGAAGACTTTCTCGTTAAAGAACTCACTGATAACAAGTTGAATCTGAACTGTGGTACAAACAATACATCCTCAAGAATGAGTTCAGGTGATTACCTCACATCTCCAATGAATTGAACATGAATCTTATCACGATTAGGCAAAGCAACAAATGAATTTTGAACTTGTCTCAACTTGTCAAAAGCATATTGATTTGAATAAATGTGGCTTGTAGTTCTAGAATCAATCACCCAAACTGTAGGTGAATTGATTATTGAATTGAAAAAAATAGAAAGACATGTACATGTCATATGATTAGAACTGCCGTTTTGTTGTGACTCAATCTTAGCAGCAGCAAGATGAGTGTTCAACAAACTCATCAAGTGTTGATGTTGAGTCTCATTCACGGTTTACATAAAGTTTCCAACCTCACCTTTTGTTTGATCTGGAGTATGAACTGGTTCAGAAACTAAACCTGCTACAACACAGTTGGCTTTATTAGCTTGATTGCTTGAACCTATCTAGTTTGCTCCTCCAATTCTCTGCCTATGCTTATATCCAGGGCAAAACCATATAATTTGTAGCATTTATTTACGTCATGACTTGTGTACCCACAATATGTACACACAAGTCTTTCTGTTTTCTGTAATTTGTTAGTTAATTGTCCTGCATTTGACTTCTTAGCCTCATTCTTAACGTAAAAAGCCATCGAACTATTACTGCCAAAAGTATCAACATTCTTCTCTTGTACAACAAGAGCAAAAACTTTATTAATTGAAGGAATTGAATCCATCAGTAAAAACTGACCTCTTATCAGTGTAAATGACTTATGTAATCCCATCAAAAATGACATTACATATTCTGTTTGATAATAATCTGCAAGATTTTTATTACCTCCACATATGCATTTACCACATGAACACAAAGGTCTGTAGCTACTGAGTTCTTCCCAAATGATTTTCAGCCTTGTGAAATAAATAATAACAGAGGATTCACCTGTTTAAATTCATCAACTTAACCCTCAATTGAAAAATACGTGGATAATTTTTCTGCTGGTATCTTTCCTTAAGATTAACCCAAATATCATGAGCTGATTCAGAATATATCACACTTGCTACTATCTCCTTTGAAACCGAATTGAGAATCCACGAAATCACCATATTGTTGTTGCGAATCCAAGCACTGAATAGATCAACTGTTGTTTCAGGAGGTACAATAAATCTATCGATAAAACCTAACTTGTTCTTCATAGACAATGCAATCACCATGGATCGATTCCAGGAAGCATAATTATCTCATGTTAATGGCTGTGAAACATGCGCCAAACCAGGGCTATCTGAATGATGGAGAAAAAAAGGATTCGATCCATAATCGGCTGCTAAATTGCTGGCTGATGATGCAGAGATATGAACAGAATGATTTGGAATCTCTGTAGCCATAGATTGAACTGATTGATCAAATTTGTAATTGGAAATGATAAGAATGAAGCATAAGGAACATCTCTGATACCATATTAGAGAAGAAAAACTTTTCTCTCATTATTTGTACACACAAGAAAATGATTACATTAATCCCTTTTATAAATACAAGTAAACTAAGCTAACTAACTAACACAGCTATAATTTTAACTAACTAGATTCTATATAATTGGCGCCAATACGACAATACAGAGTTTACTGAGCTGGAACTAAATTGCTTGAGCTGATCTTGAGCTTGAGCTGGAGCTGCTGGACAGCTAGAATCCTCTAATAAAACCCATTTGAGGTATTTAATAAATGTTTTTATTTAATTTAAAGAATGGAGTTACAAAAGTCTTATTGAGCAAAAGGGGTGTTTAATGTTTACGAGAAAAAGATTTCATTTGCAGAATTTGAATAATAAATAGTCGGAATGTAATTGGGTGTTACCAAACTATATTTTATTAATATGGCAGCATATTGATTTCCAATTATCAGGCAATCAATATTTAATATATACAAAATACTAGCCTTTGAAACCTAAATATAAATAGAAAATTGACTCAAAATGGTTGATTCAACATATAATATTTTTCCGCATATGATTGGAATATAAGTTCATGTTTGGTCCGGATTAAAATCTGATTTTAATTTGAATCAAAATCAAACAATCAATATTAATCACATCTTTTATGTGTCCCACAACTTTTCAACCACACATTACAAAAACTTCTATCACAATCTATTAAAAATTTAATTTTAATCCCTTATCAAACACCCTCTAAAAATTGTAAAATTCTCCGCTATAAGTATTCATAAACAAATTAGGTATTAAATTCGAATTAGACTGATTAATTGGATAAAAAAACCTTTGATATCATCCAAGCTAATTGTCGATTTGATCAAGTGGATGTTTGGGTATCAACTAAATCACAAGTGAAATTATTTCAACTACTTTACATTGTTAGTGTAAAAAACCTCGATTGATCATGAATCATATTCGGTAATTCTAATAATTTTTTACGATTAAATTATTTTGTAAGCCCTTTTTGGTGGCCTTAAAATTTTAAAAACATAGTTTTGAATAATAATTTTTTGTGAATGTGTGGTTAAAAAATAAGAAATTTTTTTGAATTTACGTGTATAATATTTTATTGTTTAAATGTGATTGAAAATGAATATGCGAAAAAAAAATTAAAATAAAGTAAAGAGAATCAAACATGTAACTTTGTGTTGAAGATCACGTGTTGTTTTACACGTGTTCGGCAAACAAAGTCCATGTGTAACTGTAATTTGCCAAGAATGTATAAACCACGGTGCTGACCCTCATTTTTCCATTTCTCTAGGATCTACAGTTTTATCTTCTTCCACTTTGAGTAATACAATTTTCGTATGAATTTTCTTTAATCTTAACATTGCGTACTAATTTTATTTTTTGGATTTGGGAAATTCTTGTTTTTATTATTCGCATAATTGTGTAACGTGTAAGCAATTTTTTGGTAACACAGAAAAAATGTCGGGTGTATCACTACCGGTGCCGGCTCCGGATTCCGAGCCTGATCGGACGGCCACTACCCCATCTCCAAACTCCGCCAAACGCCACCTCCAGCCGCCATCAGCCACCTGTGGCACTGTAATGGGATCCCTTCGTTTGATTGAGTTACAACTGGTAGCCTTCATTATGGTTTTTTCAGCCAGTGGCCTTGTTCCACTCCTCGACCTCATCTTCCCAGCCTTCACAACTGTGTATATTATCGTGCTTTCGCATTTAGCCTTTCCGGCACATGGAAAAACCTCAGAATCACTCGAAATATTCCAAGGCAGTCGATTTTTCCGATTCTATGTAATTGTCGGAACAGCAGTTGGCCTGTTTTTGCCATTGGCTTATATTTTGGGTGGATTTGCAAGAGGAGACGAACATGCTGTTCGATCAGCCACGCCTCATTTGTTCTTGCTATCTTTTCAAATACTTACAGAAAACATCATAAGTGGGCTGTCGTTGTTTTCGCCTCCGGTGAGAGCACTGGTCCCTTTGCTTTACACTGTTCGGAGGATTTTTGTGGATCTTGATTGGATTAAGGATGTCTGGATTAACAAAACCTTGCCTGCAAATGCTGCACTCCAGGTAATTTTGGACTTTAGGCTATAATTTTTTATTTTTTTTCGATTTTGAGTATTAACTGGGGTCAATTGCATGTCCGAGCTTTTATTATTGTTTTAAGGTGGTCGCTTTACCAATGTGAAAATTTAGTTATTTGACCATGCAGCTTATTCATTGGTCAAACTAATGAACATAGATGAAATGACTGGTGATGGATCTAGGGGGTTGGACTGGGTCCAGTCCAATAAAATTTTTGATGTAAATGAAACAAATTAGGGGTTCTTACAAAAATACCCTTAAAATTATGGGTATTTTGAAAAATCAGGTAAAAGATTTTTAGAAAATAAAAAATACTGTGTAAAATGAAAAAATGACACAATATCACTTTTTTATAAAAATTGTCACTTTTTACTTTTTCAAAAAAGTGACATAATTCAAAAAAAGTGACACACACACATACACTCAAAAAAGTGACAAATACTTTAAAAAGTGACAAAATACTAATCAAAACCTATGTTTGTTTTTCAAAAAAGTGATAGAAATTTTTAAAAAGTAACAAACAATAAAAAATGAAAAAAATTCAGAAAAGTGATCATTAAAGTTTTACATTAAGAAGTGACAAGCTATATCACTTTTTTGATTAAAGGTCACAGACTTTGTGTGACGTAATACTTTTCATGGAAAAAGAAAATTTATTGCTTGTGAAATTAGTGATTTTTCTTCGTAAAAATGTTTGGCTAAATTTACTACACGCTTATAGTAATCTTTTAACTAATATTTAGGGTCTTTTACTAATTTGTTGTGTTCGATTTTTTTTCTTCAATCCATAGTTTTCGAAAATCAATATTTGTACAGATTAAACATGACGACACAACAAGCGAAAGAAGGAAGGTCAAAATTGAAGGGAAAAAAAATTGCATAGAACAATTAAGGAGTAGGTGGATAATAAGAAAAAAAAATTGCAAAAAATTTTAGGCGGAAACCCTCCTTTAGTTTAGAGATAGGACCATCAGAGGGAAAAGAGTGATCCCAAATATCATACTTAGAGAGAGATAGAGAAGGTATATTTAAATTCTTGATTTTCTAATGCAATGGAACGTATTTCTTAACTGTTAATCTTAAATTTGAAACTAAGCCCCTGTTTGACACACATTAAATTTTTCATTCTCATTATTCTACTCATTTTCAACCACACATTTTTCAATAAAATAATATTTTCCATCATATCAATAACTTTTCCTTTTTTTTCAACCATACATTCTCCATCAATCTACTATTCCAAAATACATTCTTCAAAAATAATATCCATCAAATACACCCTTAAAGTGCATTTTTCAACTTTTTGGGGGGAAGGAAGTAAAGAGCCTAATTTCCCCAACAAATTATATGTAAATAAAAAAGGAAAAAAATATATAACTATCCTACTTTCACATTTAACAATTTATATAAAATCTTTAAAAAATCAATTGGTCACATTTCATGACATTTGCTAAATTTTTGTAAACTATATTTAGTGCCTGTCTGGAGCAAATTCATTGGCCGCTTAGAATTGATATTTCAACCGTTGGGAGAGCCCGAAGTCTCAACTTTTGACTGTGTGTGAGAGAGGTGGGGGCCACCGTTTGAAAAAAAACGACTATATTAATGCTGGAAATCTGCTGGAAATCACCAGTAGACACGCCCTTAATCAAACAGATCACCTTCACAATAAAAACACAATTACACAAATATGTCACAAACTATTTACTAATTACAAATTATTCGATTAACTGGTGACATTCACTCTTGACTTGACCCCAATCCCCACTCCTCATTCGTCTCCGCCATCCAAATTGTTGTTGTCATCTCAAATTCATAATCGCTGCCGCCACATCTACCTCTACCTACTCACCGCTACCATCACCACTTACAACCTCAGATCCACAACCACCACCTTCTAGTTATGTCGACGAGCTGAAACTCAAAGCTCGGGCTCGACTCAAACAAAACAGGTCAAAACTTTTTTGGCTCGACCCGAGCATTCGGCTGGGCCTTTACGAGCCGAGCCAGACCTTATTTTTTTATTATTTTCTTTAAAAAAAAAATTCTTGATTGCTGCCTGCATTTGTAGGCAGATAAATTATTATTATTATTTTTTCTCTAAACGACGGGCCGGTCCGAGCCTCAACTCAATGAAATCAAGCCACGAGCCGGCGAGCTTGCCATACCTACCACCTCCACAGTAAACACATGGTTATCACCACCTTCACCTCAAAAAAATCCAAACCACCACCTCCACAGAAGGTCACGTGTTACAATTTGTCTAAGTTTACAGTAGCAAGATTTGCGTGGACATGAGATGAGTCGATATTTGTTGACCGCGTCCCCCCTACAAAAAAAGGGGAGGTCAGCACTAGATTATTTTTGGTGGTGTTAGTGATGGTAGGTTTTCTGAATCTTCTTCGGTTAATTGCCTTCTTGGGTTGGAGGATGATCTCGTGGGTAAGGCGACTATCGAAGGGAAAGATTTAGAAGTCCAAATTAAGACGTCAAAAAATGGTGGAAATGGAAATGAAAACGGGAATTTTCTTAATTACGATGTGCATTCTGTCTCGGATTCCCCTGTGCTAGAAACCATCTCATCATTTAGTCTATCTAGAGTTCTCCGTTCACGGCGAACCTCCGACCAGGAAGAGTATATGTCGAGGAGAATCAGAAAGTCGAAGGGTTGGGAATTGAGGAGCAAATTCCGAAAATAAATTTTAGGGTTGGTGGAAATATTAATTTACCATAGAAGTAGGAGAAGGTTGGGGGTTTTGTAGCGGGTTCCGATGGTTGTTGGTGGGGGAGTATGTGAATCGGGTTTTTTCCAATAATGAGAGATCAAATTGCGGTGGGAATAGGAAAACAGAACAAGCGCGGCAACAACGTATACAGATTTTGTCAATTTCAACGACAACAATAACTGCACGTTTGAAAATTTTCAGTTGAGTGGGACTACATTGGGCAGAGGAAGAATGTATGATCTTACTGTGGTTGGGTGATGGTGTTGGAAGGGGGTTGGTAGGAGGTAGATGGGGTTGGTTGAAGAAGAAAGACTTTTTTATTTTTATTTTTTTAATTGTTTTAATAGGGTCTGGTTTGCACTCTTTTGAAAATTTTGAGGTTACGAGTAAAATTAATTCTTTTTTCTTCTTATTTATTTATTTATTTAAAGACGAGGATAAATTCATCATTTTACAAGTTGTATTCCGTGAGGTTTGATTGATATGGAGGGGTATTGCATCACAATAAAAGGATAAAGGGTATTGCACAAAATCGATAAAGGTAAGGAAAGTATTTCGCCAATTACCCGAAAATAAATATAGTTATTTATGTATTAGGCCACCACGAACTAATGAACGGATGAAATAACTATGCACAACTTGAAATTAAGTTTTAGCATGTTTAGCAATGTTTTAAATTCTAATTTAAGCTGGTTATATAAACTGTGTAGGATCCACAACTTACTATCTAATTTCCGTAAATTTCGAAAGACCCAAAAATAACAAGCACTACCAAATAAGAACTATGTTTAGTACCCAAACTTGGAAGGGAAATAAATTGCCGGTTTCTGCAGGATGTGGCTTGGCATTGGTTCGGAAAGGTGCTGTCAATTGCAAATCTAACATATTTCTCGATCAATTTGTTTGGTTTTCTGCTTCCTCGTTTCCTCCCGAGAGCATTCGAGAGGTACTTTAAGGAGCGGGATGAGGTGCGGGCAAAGATGGCAGAAGACAAGCATTCATCAGCAAGGAAGGACTCTCAAGACTCAGATAAGAAGGCTAATTAGCTGCTACTTTTTTGTGTGTGCATGTTTTTGTGGACCGATCTACATAACATTTCTAATTTGCAGCATGTTCTGGTTTTATTATTATTAATAGTTTGTTGTATTTCCTTAAATTTTTATCATAGTAGTTGAACAAAAACGTTGATTCGTGGTTACTTTGATTTTATCTTGAGTTTTTTCTTGGAGAACACAATATATATGATTCAATTTAAGCAATATGTTATGTTTTTTTAATTAGATGTAACTTGTAAGTGCAGGCCGGATCCCTCCGCCCTGCGTATGTGCATGCTAGATCCTAAAACGGCACAAAAAACTCGATTTGTTCTTGACGTAAAGACTAGATTTAGCTTCTGGTTGGCCTACATTTATTAAAATTATTATTATTTTCAAATTCATTTTGAATTATATATTTTATGGGATTCACAACTTTTATCAACTTTTCAGTTATGCATTTCATCATTTTTTTTTATTAAAATCCACTAAAAATCTAATTTTTATTCAAATCGAAAAAGGGCTTAGTTTGACGGAATGTAATGCGCTTAATAAAAATCATCGTCAAGGACGGGATGTGTTAATTAATAAAAATGTTAAAAGATAAAAATTTAAGGAAAAAAATTAGAGATGAGTAAATGACGAGGATAATTAAAGTTCAGTGCAACGAATAAAAACTGACGTAATTACCCTTGATAATACACTGAAATTCAAGAAGAATGAAGAAAATTTTGTAGTTGCAGTCCTTAACCTTTACTCCATTTTGCACTTCTGCCTCCAACCTTCATTTCTTGGCAACATTTTCCTTAATCTTTCAATTTGTGGCATCTGTGTCCCTACTGATGAATTCCGTCCAAAAATACTCCGTTAAGTAGGTGGCAATTTTTTTTATACATTCTCTAATTAAATATATAGAATAAAAAAGAAAATACAAAAAATCAATCTTATATCTTCACCTCAGAAATGGCATGTGCCTTCATAATTAAAGCAAATATCGTCGCACTACAACTATATTAATAGTACACTTCAGTTTTAAAGTATAGAAAAAAATAATATTATTTACCATTATGATGATAAATCATCGATAATGTGGCAGTCTATGTGAATAATGTGTTTGTATAATTCAATTTATATTAAAGAGAGAGAGATGAAGAGAAATGTAAGGGATAATAAATTGTCATATCACCGATAATTTATCATCATAATGCCAAATAACATTATTCTATAGAAATATACAATTTTTAATGAGATCAAAATTCTCTTCAGCGTATGCATTATAAGAGCATGTTTGGAAAAACTTAAAATTCAATTAAAATTGAAAATATAATCGTTGTTAGGTCTCATTCGTTTAATAAAAGTCAACAATAACGGCTAGTTTTTCAATTTTAATCCGATTTTAATCTCTACCGAACACTCTCTAAAGTCGGACTCTTTACTGTAACATGACAACGTTGTTCGAAGTGGAGTTTGTGTTGAGTTCAAATTAAGAACATTGGCATATTTGGAACGTACTAAATAGGACCACATCAAATGTTATTTGTGGCAAAGTAAAATAAGATTATCAAAAGAATCGTTAACAAGCATATAAAAGGCAACAAATTAACATTTTTGGCATTTTATGTCGATTGGTCATTGAGAACGATATAAAAGCGTTAAAAGTATTGTAAATGGGTTGGGGATAGGGGAGGAAGAGGTACTCGATGTCGGGGTTCACGAGTTGGGGATTAGGGAATAAAGCAAGTTAACAAGGGGTTTCTTTTCTTTATTTTTTTTTCATTTAAATATGAGGGCAAATAAATTTTAGTGTGTGTGTTTGTATTCCATTATTGTAGAAGAAATGAAGTAACGAATAATATTTTTTGAAGAATGTATTATTATAATTTAAAATAACTTTATTGATTTGTGTGTAGAATATTTTATTTGGTGAATGTGTGATGAAAAATTTTACTGTAGCAAACGGGAAAAAGCTGTGTTAGTTAGTGGGGGTAAAAGTGCAATGAAAAAAGGTTGGTGACAAAAGTAAAAAATAAAGCGAGGATTGTTAACGTAAGACAGACACTGAGCAAAGATAAGTGCTTACATTTTATATATTTATACGACTTTATTATCAAAAACAATAATTGAATTCTACATTTTACTACTTCTAATCTAATTTATCTTATTTTGCTGCCCAATCTTGCTACATATATATTTTAGTTAACATTCCGTTTTATATTTTACTATGTAGCATACAATTTTATCATTAATTTCTCCAACATTTGAAACAATCAATTATCTCGATATTGCTACATATTCAAATATAATTCAAATTGTATATAAATAATGTACAAATACCATAATTATTTTTATGACACATGTTGAAGTTGTGAATCAACAATTCAACCTTCATTTCAAGTCAATAGTAAATTCAATTATTTTTTTTGACCTAAACAATTCCTCTTATTTAATTTCACGAATATTACGATGTTTCGCGCAAATCTTCAATTTGAACTTCTTCAATGAAATATTTGGAATCATTAAGTCCCATCAAATGATCCGTGATCTCCACCGCTTTTTTACGCGGAGTTTCACTTTTTTTTTTATTGAAGTGAGTTGAACCAGAATTAATAATACATATTTTATAAAATACATATTTGACGTAGATTAAAATTAAATTAAAGTCAATAATTAATTTTATTCATATATTTCACAATTTTTCGATTACATATTTTATTAAATTTTATATTAAAAACATGATTATCTACACCAAGATGGGACAAAAAAATCTTATTCAACCCCTGCTAAAAGACAAAAAAAGGATAAGATAGACAAGTAATAAAAGAAGTATTTAACACGCGCTTAACGACCGCGTGAAAATCCTTTCAGCTAGTCCTTGCCTCTCAAGAAAATTATTTATTGCTCACCCAACAAATAAAATAAAATAAAACCCCAAAAAATCCTCTTTATTATCGGGTTCTCAGCCTTCGTAATAGCTTTCTAATTTCCTTCGAAAACACCATGAAAATGAGAAACAAAGGTAAAGTACACCCCTTAATTGCTTCGTCTTCGTCTTCGTCTTCGTCGTACAGTGCTAGCAAGGAAGTTTTGTCTGTGTTAAAGCTATTGCCTGCTGTTATTTTGGCTTTAATATCGGTTCTTTCCTTTGAAGACCGTGAAGTTTTGGCTTATATGATAAGCCGGTCTTTGAAATTGACAAACACGCCAGTTTTTGCTGCCGATGAGAGGAAGATGAAGAAATCGCCGGCGAATGGTCACGGGCATAAGCCACCGGCTTCTTTCGACTGCGAGTGCTTTGATTGTTATACTAGCTTTTGGTCCCGGTGGGATTCTTCACCCAACCGTGAGTTGATCCATCAAGCTATTGAAGCGTTCGAGGAGCACTTGAACATTGGAGAGCAGTCCAGGAAGAGTAACAATGGTAAGAACCGGAAAAAGGAGAAATTGGGTCGCCGGAAAAGTGAGAAACTAGCCGATGGTACTGTTGGGGTTCATGATTTGTTTAAGACGGAGGGGAAAAGTGAAAGCCTTGTTTCTCTGTTACCGGTACAGGAGACTGAAGCGTCAGCACCGAAGGAAGATGGCGAGGTGACGGAGTGTGGGGAAAGCGAAGTGAAAGACGTGGTGGTTCCAAAGGAAGAAGAGGAGGTGGTGGCTTCGCCGCCGGTTGACCACAGCCACAAGGGTTTGGCTAGAAAGGTATTGCCGGACGTCTTGGGGTTATTCAATTCCCGTTTATGGGGTCTTTGGAATCCAAATGTGTAGAAAAAAATAAAAAAAAGAGGAAAAATCCCCTTCTGTTTTTTAAAATTCTGATATGAATTAAAAGAAAAAGGTATTTCTTCTCGAATGTATATTAGTTGCATTTGTTTATTATTATTGCATTTTTACTTATAATTTTGCTGCCTGCGGGAAGTCATTTTCTATTTATCTCAAGAAATTGTGTAATATTTTCTTGATGCCGATTAGTTGTGGATGTTTGGTGGAGATTAAAATTAGATTTTTAACTTAAATTAAAATTTGATTTTAATTCGAAACAAACAGGATCTAAATCTACCAAAGGGAATTTAATGCTTTCAAAACAGTGTAATTATTTGCTTAGAGGCTAAGGATTCTGAAGAGTAACCAATCAGAAAAAAGACACGTGGACGGTAATATTGAGAAATTGTGAGACTGACCTCAGCATATAGCCTATAGGTGTCATTAAGGGTTTGTCTCCTTTTTGAATTATTCGGTTCTTTACTTTTGAATGTCAAATGAATGCGATTTTCTATGCTTTCTTTGGGATTCCTCTCGACATGGAATCACTTTTTGTTGCTTTAATACAACAATTATGGAGTGCCCTAATAATTTTAATAATTAGTTAACTATTTTCAACTTTCGACTCTTGGTGGAGTATTCAAAATCCCACGCCTTTCCACATAATGAAAAATAGCATTTTATAAGAATTAGAAAAACGGCTTTTAAGCATCATCAAACATCCTCTTAGAACATATCCAAAGTGATCGAAAATTTCTCAAATTTACATTTTACATTTTTCAATAGAAAATCTAAAATAAAAAATGTAAATTTACATCTTTTTTATAGAATAATAATATATAGCATCAGTGATTCCACTCTGTGCCATTGGAGGCATAATTTGCGATTTACCATCCTTCACCAAAGTCCAGAGCAGGGCAGGTGGGGGCCGTCAGGATGCGACTATTCCTTTTTTTATATGATAGATTCAATTAAATGTGTAATTATGTGATTTACATTTTATTTAATGACATTTAATGTTGTAACGACTCGGGTCCCACTAACGGGCTGTCCGGCCGTTAGATCGACGACGTACTGTCATCACTGTACCAATATGGGTCTTTTCTAGGCATAATCTGCGATTTACCTCCTTCACCAAGGACCATGGCAGGGCAGGGCATGTGGGGACAGTCAAGGATGCGGCTCATCCTTTTTTTATATGATAGATTCAATTAAATGTGTAATTATGTGATTTACATTTTATTTAATGTCATTTAATGTCAAATAAACTGGTGTTGTAACACTAATTATACTAAACAACATTATTCTTTTTTAGATCTACTTGTGGGACCCACAAGAGACAAAAAAAAAAGAAAAAAGCTATCGACCTACTTGTACCCAATTTTTTTAGATCTTTTCATTGGAACAAAATTCGTATTTAAGTTCGACGTAATGTAAATGAGAATATAAAAATGATTTTGAAAATATCAATTTATACTTAATATTATACAAAATAGAATGTGATAGTTATTTTTGAGAGTGGAGTTGTACACAGTGGTACAATTTTGTCACTGCAGGAAAAGATGAAGGGATTTTTGGCCAATAAAATTGCTTTATGTTTCAACAATGTGTGATGGTCCACTGTGTGGAGCTGCACAGAAGTGGTTGCAATTGGCTGATTGTGCTTGCAGTATTTGCAATAGTGGGGTCGATTGTATTATTTATTGTACGTTGTACTTTGTGAGGGGTCCATTAAAGTTCTAAATTTAATCACTAGTGCTCATTTATATCTGGTCCCCAGATATTACCTGCACTGCAATTTGGCTATGCATAAGGTTTACTTGTTAATAATTGAGTGAATTTTAAAATAAATAGTTTTTTATTAGGCGAATAATGTAACAGTTTGGAAAACATCGGAAAGTAATTAGAGCATCGTAACTAGTGTAACACTTGGGGGGACAATCGATAAACCATATAAACACTTTACGTATAATTAAAAACGAATGATGCTCCCACGAACATGATGCAGTGGTAAAATAGGAGGGTTCTCTACAGAATATCGAATGTTCTAATCTTTGCGACAATTGGAAGACAACATCTATGTTGGAAGGCAGAGATTCACTGGGGGAAGACCGCCACCACTCAGAATTAGTCGAGCAAAACTTGAACACGAGTCATAAAAAAAAAATGAATGATGAATAAGTGAGTAGTATTTGAGATTTTAAAGAGTATATAAATAAAAAGTGATTTGACTTTTAGCAAATTCTGTTTATAAACATACTCCAAGGGTGTGTCTGGTGCAATACTTGTATTTTAATCCATGGACGAGAGAGCCCATATAGTTAAATGCTTTATGTTCTTAGGTGGACTGCTCGGCCAAAACAAATAAAATTGTTGACTAAAAGGTTATGGCTGCTCTTTCTTTGTGGGCTACATTGATAAAATACAAGCAAATTTCTTCTTTTCTTTATCTTTGAAGTAAGAGTGCCCGACACGTTTGGTTAATCGTATTGACAGAGAATTGACTTGCTTTAACACATTTAATAGCTTGTTTGATAGAACTTAAAATTCAATTAAAATTGAAAATATAGTCGTTATTGGATTCCACTCGTCTAATAAAAGTCAACAATAACGACTAATTTTTCAATTTTAATCCGATTTTAATTTATACCGAACACGTCCTAAATAAATAAATTTATCTCATTTAATAATAATGTATTTTACCCAACGCTTGGATAATAAGTGATTAATAATTATGAATTTACGTCTGAAGTTAATATTAAATTTTAATTTTAATTCTCTCTTACTCTTTTCAAACCAACCATTTAGACGACAACACGTGTCATCGAGGATAAAATCTAATTTTTCACTCTTTTCTTATTTTTTATTCGAAAATTTATATCGACTCATTTAAACTTATCTAATTAATTTATTACGTATTATAAAAGAACAATTTACATGTCTTAAGTAAATAAAATTTGTTTTAATTATTACAATTTACATATTACATTGAAGTCTGAACATATTCATATACTCTTCACCATTGCTTCCAAACCCATATTTACTAGTTCTATATATTAGTTCTATATATGCTTCAACAAATTTACATGCTATTTGGCTTCTATTGAAATAATAATTTATAAATATTTTTCTTATCTATAGAAGAACGAATTTTGGAAGCTTAAGTTTTATGATTTATTTGAGACAAATAAAATTAACATTGTAACATTTATGCATAGATGGTTTCATTTTAAATGTTATATTGAGAATTAGACCAATATGTTTATTTTTTTCACTTGTTTGAAAGATGTTATTTTTATATCATTAAAATCGTGGTTTAAAACCATATTGAATCGTAAAAAAATATTTGATTTGTTATGATTTAGAAAATAAAATGGTTTGATTTGGTATAAAATTTTACAAATCTTTTTAAATGATTAGTTTGAAAATAGATCAAAGTGGAAATTACAAAAATGCAGTTTTTTTAAAGTTGCCGCTCGTCATCGCAGTGCAAGGAGGAATTTGGTGGTGGTAATTCAGGGATTTCCACGGGGAGGAGGCTATTGTGCGATAAATGAGGCCTGTGGGGTGGGAATGGGTAGAGGTGGCGGCGGCGGCGAGTAGTTATGGTTGCTCATATTTCCTCCGGAAATGAGGATTCTTATGGTGGTACAACCTCTATCCTTCGATAATGACAATCACGAAATATCTTCTTTTGGAAACGTGACCTAATGAGCAGTATGTTGGCAACCCAACTGTGTTACTCATGGAAGGGTTCATTTTCAAGCATGGCGGATCGAGAACAACTTGCAGATCTGATATTCGATTCTTTCGATCTCGTCTCACCAAGGCCGTGACATTGAGGTTGTGCTTCATAGTATCGTTACATATATTTTCTGTTTCTTTCTCCCTTTTTATTTTTGTTGTTGTTGCTAGTGATGGTAGGTTTGGATTTGATGTAGAGGTCGTGGTGGAGGATTGTTCGGTGGTTGTGGATTGATGTATATGTGGTGGTGGTGATGGTAGAGGTGGTGGTCGTGGTACACGTGGTACCTTGCAAGTGGTGGCGGTGGTGATGCGTCTAAGGTTGTAATGATGCTAGTTTGTCGTACGGGCGATGGTTGTGGTGATGGACGGATAGTGTTTGTGATCAATTATTTGGTTGTTTGTGACCAATAAATAATATATGATTGATGAAATATATAATTTGTAATCAATAAATAATATTTGACCTAAAAAATGTGCAATTTTGGTTAAATTTGTACTGGTGACTCACAATTTGTTAAAGTTGTGATCAATTAATTTAATAATTTGTGATCAAGAAATAATTATGATCAATTAATTTGATAATTTGTGATCTTGGAATATGTTGTGAATTGTAAAATTTGTAATTTATGACAAAAAAATAATACGTGACCTATTAATTAGATAATTTGTGACTGAAAAATAAGTCGTGACCTATACAAATTGTGATTTGTGACCGTGACATTGTGGTACGTAATTGTGATCATAAATTGTATAATATTGTGAACTTAATATATTTAATTCATAAAATATATTTAATTAAGAACTAATTTTTGGAAATAATAAATCTAATTTCTTAATTTTGAAATAGTATTTTGCAACCACCTTATGTATGTGATGTTATCTAGATTAAAAAGCTTCCAAATCGAACTATGTTCACCTTTGATGAGTCACCATTACAAAATGTACGATAGTGCGAGTCACCATTACAAATTGGAAGATATTAAAAAGCGTCCAAATCGTACAAGTGTAAGCTCATATTTTTGGGAAGTTAATTTTAGTACTATTCACATTTTCATTTTTTGTACATGCCAACTGTCGAAAACTTGTCATGATCAAAGCATTGATTGCTTCTACTTGAGACGTTCTTCAATTACCTTGGCTCCTTAATATCGAGTTGGCATAGATATTTTCAAAATAGGGTAGCAAAAGGAGAAAATAAGTTGACCAATAACTTACTTCTTGTACACTGGAGCGCTCATACACAACAAATTTAAATTGTT